CATTCCTGAAAGCACACACATGCTCGTACACACACTCGTACACTCATACACACCCGCACACACTCGTACACACCCGCACACACCTGCGCGCACACACACACACACACACACATACACACACACACACACACACAAATGCGTTGACCATGGCACAAAATGAGCAGAGAGGAAAACTTCTCGGTGCGATTCTTTCTTTTCCTTTTTTTTTTTTTTAAACTCTTTTTTGGTGGTTTAAGATTCAGTGTTACGACACTTTTTAAACTATACATTAAACTTAATACAAGGACCAATAAGCCACTTTATCAGTATTTTGTATATTCTCTACACACTTTTCTCCCCAGACATTTAGCCACTGCTTATTCAGCCCTATAGAACTTTTATTAAGCCTCTGTTTTATCAGCATTATTACAAAAATGCAACATAACTACTTGGCATATGTAGCCTTTGCCTATAGTACTTTTATGAAGTGCAGTAAATGGACGTTTTTCTGTCCATTGAAAATTCCACTTACGGTACTGTAGAACTCTGTTGGTTATGTTAGACTAACAGGAAACTTCTTCCAGACATAGATTTTGTCGCTGTTATGTTTAGCTCATTGATGTCGTATTGTGCTGTACCATGTTTATTATCTCAATATTCATTTTTGTAAAAAAAAAAAATATATATAAATGTGCTATTTTATGTTTGTATTTGAAAATCTCTGTAAATAAATTTTTCCTTGATCAGTACTTGCAATGCATGGTAGTGTCATTAGATGAAAAAGTTCCTTTCTCTCTCAGATCCTCATTCAAAATAATCCTCAGAAGTAGTTATGGCTTTGATAACTGTGCTGTAGCCTTTCTCCCCCTAAAACACATACATTTAGGCTTCAGTTACATTGCTTGAGCATAGATGTCTATTGCCACTTGGGACATCTTGGGACATCTAGTGTATCTTACGTTTTTGCATGATGCTGTTAGATATAATGCAGGACTTCTGGGGGACCATCTCCATTCTGGTCTGGCAGCTGGAGACTCAGCATCTCACACAGCACTGGCCATCCCTGTTTCAGCAATTGAAACAAGCCATTACTTTCTTAATAGCATACACACTAATCAAATGCCTAGTAAGAGATATTCCCTTCACAAGGAACTGCTGGCCTACATACAAAGCTCAAAGAATTCATTTTCTTTAAGAGAAACAGTGTGACCTTTGAGCATGGGAGTTAGTAAGGGGCTTCTGATCCTTAAAATAACAGATATTATTCCCTTTCGAAAGCATTTTTCTGCTTTTTTCCCCCCCCCTAAAATGATATTTCAGTCATTGCATATTTCTAACCTACAATGTGTTCTAGTTACAGTTTTATTGGTTAATAATGCTTGCAGCTGTTGTAACAGCTGAAATCATACAGTTGCATTACACTGGACAGCTTTTTGAAGGTATGGGTGCATGAAAATAGCAAAGTAAGTTTATAGGGATCAGTTCTGATGTTGCTGAACTGGATTTTGTCGAGTTTCATTATAGGCTAGGCAGTATTTATTCACTTTATGGTACTGTGTGGTGAAAATAAAATTGCACGTTAGCCTTCCCAGATTAGCCCATAATAGCTATATCATGTCTGACTGCACCTCTGCTGAGAACCGCATCAACCGTGCTGCAGAGACAGACATAAGGCAGTACACTGACCTGCCTCTTTGCACACCTCTTCCAGTGGCACCAACAGTGGTTGTATACAGAGCACTGTGGGCTTCCTTTTGTGCTTCCAGGTTTTCTAGGCACTTCCTTTCTTGTAAAAGCTTGGGCTCACGTTCAAACCCGCTGCTGGATGTCAGTAGCATTTTGTGTACTGTCACAATAAGTAGGATTTTGCCCTTTAGAGTTGTGGATTTCAGCTCTATCAAAACCAAAGGAGAAATAAATACAACTTTGGCTGTGGTTCCTCTAGATCCGGTAAGACGTTTGGCAGATATCTCAATACCAAGATGGTACCTTTATACATGATGCTATGATGGAAACACACCTTTCCTTCCACTGAAACTACAGTTTACTGTGCAAGGTTCCAATGACTTGGTTATAAAAATATAAGTGTTATTCTAAATTTGACCCTCCCTAGCTTACATCCGTGTTCATGCATCATGGAGAACATTTTGACTTTTGTTAGTTCTTCCTGTGCTCAGGTTCTGGTTTGATTTATGGTGACAAAATGGAAATATCAATTACTTCATGAAGAAAATTAGCTTTTTATTGCAATGCAATGTAATTATAGTATGATTGACTTCCTCTGAATTTGTTTATAATCTCCTTTTTTTAAATTTGGAATTGAATAAAACAGCAGTTTTGAATAATCAAGCCAATGAGATATACTGCACCTGCTCTGTAGCTGGTTATCATATGGCTTTCAGCTGCTGTGATATGAATAAACCAATCACAGCTTAATTAGGCTTGTCCATATTTGTGTATTTTGGTTCTGATATCGATTTTGCACTAGAATATACATGCCATTTATTATCACATTTCTCAGGCCTTACAGCTACAAACTAATAACTTCAAAGTGCTTTCAATTTCACAATTTCAAATGTCAATGAAATATTTAAAATATTTACTCTGTTTAATTTTCCATTTATTTATTCTTGGCGATGAGGAGCTTGGCTTTGTATTTGTCAAAACAGAACATGTAAGGTTGGGTGGAACCCTAGTTCACTGAATTCTGTTCCTGCCATAACTGGAAATCATGTCACATAATCCTGTTCATAAATTTATCAAGCTCAATTTTAAAACTAGTTAATCAGTTTTTCTCCTACAACCTCATTGGGAAGTTTATTCCAAAATCTCACTGTTTGGGTGGTTAGGCACTTTCTAAATTCCAGCCTAAACTAATTTGCCAATTCATATCTGTTTTTTCTGATTCCACCGTTGTTCTTAGCCTCAATAGCTCTCTTACATCTCTAGCGCTTAACCCCCGCTATATTTAGAGACAGTAGCCTTTTTTCTTGCAGCACTTCAATTTGCTGTGCTAAAGGAGGCATGCTCTTCTGATCTGTTTTTATCAGCTTGCCTATCTGTTTCTCTGTAATATTTTGTTGCATTTGCTCCACAATCTCTGAATTTCCCTGAGTTTATTTTCTTCATTGTAAGCACTTCTGTAAGCAGCATACATTCACACATTCCCTGTTATATATGTCAGGTTATCTTTTATGTTGCATTCTGGAGGTCTCTGGCAACGTGGATGTCATGGATCTGCTTCCAGCAAATACTCTGTGAGCAGCAAGTTTCGTCGATCACCCCCAGCCAATATAGAAACTGTACAGAAACAAGTGTTATGATTGTGGACTGCTGTTCATTATCAGAAACGATCTTAGAACCAGAGGATAATTCAGGTTGGAAGGGACTTCTGGAGGTCTCTAGCACAACTTTCTGCTCAAAGCACATGTCAGCTGTGACGTCAGACTGGCTTACTCAGGGCTTTATCCGGTTGGGTCTGGAAAACCTCCAAGAACAGAGACAGCGCAATCTCCCTGTGCAACCTGTTCCACTGCCCTCATGTGGAGAAACTTCCTTGTATCTTGTCTCTTGTTTCAAGTGATGTCCTGTGCCTCCTATCTTCTCACCACACACCACTGCGAAGAGCTTGGCTCTATCTCTTCTCAGGACCCTCCCTTAGGTGCTGGGAGGATGCTGTTGTTTCATCTGAAGGTGTCTCTTTTCTAGGCTAAATAACCCCACCTCCCTCAGCCTTTCCTCACAGAGCAAGTGCTTCAGCCCACAACCAGCTTGGTGGCCCTCCCGTGAATGCCTTGCAGTTTGTCAATGACTTTCTTGTACTGGGGGAACCCAAAACTGAATGCAGTATCTGAACGAGGTCTAATGAGTGCCAGTTAGAGAAGGATAATCATTTCACTCGCTCTACTGGCTCTGCTTCTGTTAATGCATCCCAGGATGCTGTTGCCCTTCTGTGGTCAGGCCGCACTGCTGGCTCCAGTGCAGCTCACTGCCCCTTGGCCTCCAGGTCCTGTTCGCAGAGCTGCTCCCTGGCCAGCCATCCCCAGCCTATGTCACGGCAGGACACTCTTCCTTCCCAAGGGAAGGACTCTGCATTTGTCCTTGTTGAATTTCATAAGGTTCCTGTTGGGCCATTCCTCTAGGCTGTCTCAGTCCCTCAGAATGGCAGCTCCCCTCAATTTTATCAACTGGTTCCCTCAGTTTGGTGTCATCTGCAGACTTGATGAGAGCACACTCATTTTCTTCACTTCCCCCAGGTCACTGATAGAGCTGTTAAGTAGGACAGGTCCCAGGATAGACCCTGGCGGTGCCCCACTTATCACAGGCATCCAGGTTGGGTGCAACTCATTAAACATGACCTCTGAGCCTGGCTGTCTAAGCAGGTTTTTAACGTTCTGGTTCCCCACACATCCAAATCATAATGTCTCACCCTGGATACTTGAATACTGTGGAAGACTATGTCAAAAGGCATGCTGAAGTTGAGGTAAATGGCATCCACTGCTCTCCCACTGTCCATAGATTCATTCATTTTATCATAGAAGGCAAATAGGTTGGTCAGGAACAATTTACTGTCGGTAAATCCATGCTGACTGTTCCCAGTCACCAAAGTGAGCTTCTATGGGGCTACCACCAGAAAT